TAACATTACTCTTATTAACAACTTTAATAATTATTAATAAAACAAATACTAACAGCAGTTAATGTTTATTACTTATGATGTGCCAGGCACTGTACTAAGCATTTTACACGCAGTCTCATTTAATCCTCATAACCACCCTCTGAGGAAATGATACAGACATGGAGATTCAGACTCTGAGTGCTCTGCCTAGGGTCACAGTGGAGGCAGGAAGCCTGAACCCACAGTCCACACTCTTAACCTCTGCTCTAGGCTCTACTGCAGTTACATGTAAATTCTAATAGCCACCAATGACTCTCACAAAGGCTACACACACACACACAGAGGAAATGAAGTGTCCCTTTTCCCCAATAGCTACCAACACTGAACATTATCAATCTTTTTAATTTTTGTCAATTAATTGGGGAAAAAAGAGTTAGTTTGTTGTTTTAATAAGGTTGACCATCTCAATTTATTCATTGGTCATTTGTGTTTTTCTTCTGTATCTTTCTTCCTTTGTCCATTTTGAGTTAAAATATTTACCTTATTGATTTGTGGGCAGTCATTTTTATTAACATCTGGAGTATAGATAAATAAATAAATGTGGACAATTAGCTGATCTTAAAAAAATTAAATCACTATTTCATACTAAAGCAAATTCTGGATGGATTAAAAATAATGAAATCATAAAAGCATAATTCTTTCTTATGGCAGTCTGTCATTTTTCATTGATATCAGTTTAATAAAGTTCTATATTTATGTTGAAGAAAAAGTAATTCGAATAGGCAGAACAGTGCATTACAGACTATACTAGAAAACTAGTATAAGAGGACTGTGACAAATCTATGTCACTGAAAGCAACTGAAAGTATCTTTGGAAATTATGAACATGGTAGATTTGTGAAGTGAAAAAAGCAAGTTACAAAATAATACTTATGCTTCCATTTTATAAAAGCAAATATATTAAACATTAGCTATATTAAATATTAACAAACATCATTTCTGGGTGGCTGGAGTTTGTAGTAGAAAGATTAAATACTATTTTAAAAAAATCATTGCCTTTGAAGATACCTCTTCCAAACAGACATAAAGATGGTTAAGCTTCTGGAAAGAAGGGACTGTGACTCCTTCATTTTTGTATCCTCCAAGTGCACAGTGCCCTGTATAGAAGGCACCCAAGAGGGGCCAGCCTGGTGGTGCAGCAGTTAAGTTTGCACGCACTGCTTTGGTGGCCTGGGGGTGCACATACCCAGGTGCACCGCTTATCAAGGCATGCTGTGGCAGGCATTCCAAATATAAAGTAGAGGAAGATGGGCACGGATGTTAGCTCAGGGCCAATCTTCCTCAGCAAAAAAAAAAAGAGGAGGATTGGCAGCAGATATTAGCTCAGGGCTAATCTTCCTCAAAAAAAAAAAAAAGTCACTCAACAGACCTTTGTTGAATGAATGAAATGGGGACCATGGGATTCACAAACACAATATCTATATGAGCTACTTAAAATATTCAAATTCAAAAACTTTGAAGGAGAATCACATTTGTTTCCCAAGTAATATTGCATTCATAACTTTAATTTACGATTAGGAAATGTTATGTTTTTAACAAAGAAGAAAAAAAATGCAAGACTCAATGTGTATGAGCTGAAAGGGGATAGAATGGAGGTGATATGAGAAAGAAATCTTACAAATATTTCTTTTTTGAAATAACTTATGGGAAATACAAAAGCTTTTACTGAATTCTCTCAGACAAAAACTATCCCTGATTTATGAAGTATGTTACTCATACTTATTGAGTATCTATTATGGGCATATGGGCAAGGTCCTATGTGTATAAAAGGGATACAAATATTTATAAGGACCTTATAACATGACTTTAAACATATACACTCTATTCATGACATATCAATCCTACTGTTAACTATGCTAAATCATACCATAAAACAATAATAATTAAACCAATGTGTACAGGCATGGGAAGAGACAAATGGATCAATGAAACAGAAATATTCCAAAAATAAACTTATGTTTTATGTAAAGTATGTATACGACAAAGATAGCATTTCCAAACAGCGGGGAAAGGATGGACTAACTACTTAGTAAATAGTACTGGGACAAGTGGCTATCCAAACAGCAAAAGAAGTTGGATTTCTACCACATACCATATGTGTAAACACATTCCAGGCGGATTAGAGAGCTAAACATTAAAAAGAGAAGAAAACATAGGAGGATATTTAATTAATCTTGGGATAAGGAAGGTTTTCTTAAACAAGACACAAAATGCAGAAGCCACAGTGAAAATACTGATGAATTTGAAATGATAATGTAAAATTCCTTTTCGACAAAAAAAGAACACAAGCAATACATTGAGGGAAAATATTTGCAAGATACTTAACAGGCAAAGGATAGATATTAAAATAAAGAACACCTACGAAGCAATACGAAAAATAAACAATTCAATAGTGAAGTGAGTAAAAACAAAATTAACAAGAAGAAATGGTCAAAAAGAACATTTTGCAACTTCTCTTACAACAAGAATAATAAAGGTTAATACATAATGCTTACTAGGCATCAGGTGCTTTTCGAAACGCTTTAGATATCAACTCATTTAATTTTCACAACAACCCTATGAGACAGGTACTGTTTTTATCCCCATTTACAACCGAGGAAATTGAGGCAGAGGTTAAAGAAGTTGCTCAGGGACACACAGCCAGGAAGGCAGGGCTGGGATTCCCATGCAGGCAGTAGAGCTCTATAGTCCAGTACAGCCCGTAACCGCTATGCTATATTACCTCTCCTGCAATCTAGAGATCCAGGGAAATACAAAGTAAAACAAGACATCATTTGTTGTCCAAATTGGCAAAAATAAAAAAGATCGATATAGTCAATATGGAAACAGTATTGTCAACACTGTTGATAAGAGAATATAACAGTGCTTTCCTTTTGTAGTAAAAACTTCTTAAAACAGACACTCTGAGAGTTTACAAAAAGAATTTACCCAATAAAAGGTAGACAATAGGTAATTTCTTCCTAAAACATTAATTTTATTTTTTTCCTGAAGGTAGCAGCAAATCCTAGAACTCCCTTCCATTTCCGTCATAATCCTCAGATGCCAATAAAGGCTATCAGAGGATAAGCATTCCATCGCTCCCACGCTAACCTTTTATGTGGCGGCTTCCCCTGCGATTTAATCAGCTAAGGTTAAACTTTCACTGAAAGCCCGTTTCTTGATGCATTAACGTCATCACTGAATTGGTTCATTTACCTTCCCTTCTAGTGGGCTGACACAGGCTCTGCTTTCTACTCTTTCCCAGATTTGTCCCTTAGCCTCTTTCTCAACAGGTTCAAGAGCCAAAAGTGTGAAGCTCGAACTTTCCCTTTCTGCTTTGTTCAAAAGCCATTAAAAGGACCCCTTCTTGTTTTCAGCAACATGTTAATTCCAATCAGACAAAAAACTTCTGAAATCTCTCCATTCTCCATAGTCTCCAGTTTACTGTCTATAGCATACATGCTAAGTAACAATACAAATTACTTAAGGGAAAAATAAAATCCATGTCACAGCTGTTGAAACACTTCGGCCATCCCTATCTACTTATAGGCACCGTTATGAAGAGCAACACGGAAAGGTACAGGGAGCTATAAAAGAGCCTGTCATGAAACTTCACTGCATAAAAGTACTGAAAGTATATCATGAATGGCAGTATGCAAAGGCAATAATGCTGTCCATTTAAAAAAAAATACACAGCAGGTCAGCTTCCATTTGAAAAATCTCATTTGTACATCGAAACTTCTTGGAACTTTTTTGCCTTTTGTGTTCTAAAACTGACTGCCAACTTGGTGTCTGATTATGACGAAGTCAATTAAAATGTGCAGGGGTGAAATGGGCATTGTGAACACACACAGGCAGCTCGGAGAACAGCGCTTTACTAAACCTCCAGGGGAGGAGCCCTAAAGGGACGACTACATTTTCACTGAGAGAGGAATTTAAGAATGTTCCATATTGTACGCAGAGGATGTAAGAAGAGATTAAGGTCAGCAGGAAAATGTAAAATTGGAATGCACAAGATTGCATTTTTTTCATCCGCATCATATGGTTAGAGATTAACACTCCAATAAAACACAAAACTTCCTCACTACATTAAGAGGCTTGCACAAGAGGCACCACACAGGCCTAAGGCAATGATTTCTATATCCTATCGTGCCCCCAATGTAATCAAATAATTGCTGGACAGCTCCACCACGTCTACGCGTTAACCACACACGCGAGCACGCAAAGACCCCTTTGCCAAGAGTTCCAGGACAAGACCAAAACCCCTCAAGGCATCTCACGCAAAAGTTTGGGGTCCTCATTTTCTCTGGAAAGAAAACTGGAGGGAGAAGCAGCGACCTTCCAATGCCTCAAAAGGCCAAGAGAGTTCGATCTGGGACTTCCCTCTCCCCACCTTGCTCTGCTCCAGCCCTGGAAGGAGCCACAAGTGAGGAAGAGAAGTTGCAGAAACAAGACGGGGGTGGGGTGGGATGGGATGAGATGCGGGCACCCGAGAGAGTTTAACACAAGCATTTGCGTTTGTCCCACACAAGGTCACTCGCTCCAAGCCACTTTTCCCTGCTCCAGCGGAGGGCTTCCCGCCCAAGAGGCTGCTGGGCTTCAAGGCCAGCCCACCGCGCCCCCTCGGCCCTTCCCCGCGGGCCGCAGCCCCTTCCCGGCTTCTGCGTGCGGGCCGGAGCTCGGACCCACGCTGGCCTCCCTGCTACCCGTTTCCCACGCCCGGCGCCTCTCCCTGACCGATTCCGGGGCTCCGCCGCTTGCACCCCCGGCGCTCCCGTCAACGTCCCCTTCATGCCTCAGGACGCCCCCTTCCCCGCCGTCAGAACCCGGTCCCGCCAGGGGCCCGGGACGCCGCTCCTTCCTTCTCCTCCGCCCGCCCTCTCCTCGGCACCCACCTGGCGCGGCCCCCGTCCCTGGCCCGTGTACTCCACGAGCGGCCACCTCCCAAGTCCTCCCGGCCCCGCCCCGCTCCCGGGCGGATACAGTTTGAAGCCCCTCAGGATCTCCCTGGCCCGCTCGTCCTTGGCTGACATGATGCGGCGGCCGCCGCCTGCGGCTCTCCCACGCTGGCCCGGAGGAGCCTCGTAAACGGTGCCCAGGAGTCGTGGATAGAGCTGCAACCCGGCCTGAAGACCTCGGGCGAGCAGCGGTAGCGGCCAGACCCGGACTGGCCTCTCTCTCCCCTCAGCTCCCGCTCCTGATCCCTTCTCCTTCCCTCTAGCCTCGGAGCGCCCGCCCCGAAGCCAATGGAAAGCCCGTCTTTGCGATTGGCATCCTGACCAGCCAATAGAAACACTCAGCGGCTTCGAAGGGAGACGAGGAGCGTCAATGGGAAGGGCCCTCCCCTGGAAGTCCCGTAGGACAAATTTTTCATTCGGTGTTGTTGCCTAGAGTTTGCCCCAGCGGAGGGTTGGCTTCGGATCTGCAGAGGCTCGAGGGGCCCGATTCTGCTGCTGGGCACACAAGGGCTCTGAGATGACAGCGGGTTGCACCGTGCGATGTGGTGGAGACTACATTTCCCAGCATTCTAGGGGATTGCTCGGGGGACCACAGATCCCAGCACGCAACAAAAAGGCCCAGGGACTACAAATCCCAGCATTCCCTGCAACCTAGTCCTCTGTAACTTAGACTCCAGTGTGCCGCGCAGTGTGCGCAAATTCGTAAACCTTACCTCAGGTTTGGTAGTTTGTGAATCCCGGGACTTGAAACCAGGCGGGAAGACCCTCTTCACCCTCAAAAGAAGATGACAGCCCACAGAGAGGTAACTTCTGTTTACATGGAACTCAGAAGTCTCCTGCAAATCATGGTAAGCCTGCAAACACCAAACAAAAACACTAATTAAACCATGAAAGATAATATTAAAAAAATGACTCCTTCAAGTCGTGGTTGTTTGTTCGTGTGGGGCGTCTTTTAGTGTTTTGCAGGGGTTTTTGGTGTGCTTCTGCGTTGGGCTGGGAGAGATATCAATAGTGTACTCAGAATATCAGTACAGGAAGGGACTTTAGAGAATTTGCTAATCAAACTCCTGTTGTTTTACATATGAGGAAACTGAGGCCCCGAGAGGCGAAGAGATTGTCCATGAAGTTAGAATTCAGCCCTCAGTCTGCTGACCCGCAGTCTGGACTCTTTGCACCACACTAGGGTGGCGATATTTTTAGCAGCATGGCTACGTGATTTTTATTCTTCCTGGTAAAGTTTCCCCAACCAGGTTGAAACACCCAGAGGTTAGGTAAGCATTTATTTGGTGGATTTCCTCCAAGTGAAGGAGTGTGATGTTTATCTTCAGTCTAGGTAGGACTTGGTGTTTGGGTTTGTTCTTTGTTTGTTGCTCAAGGTGACATTTCATGTGATTTCAGGAACTAGGTAATATTGCAGTGTAAGCTAAGGTTTCCTGGGAGATGTTCTATCTCTTTTCCTAGGCCTGCCTTCCTCTTCCTGTCCCCCTTTTACCCCTCTGGGCACCCACCCAATGTTTCCTTCCGTGTAATTCAACAAACAGCTTTTTCAGCTGTCGTTATTTGCCAGGCTCTCTCTGGGTAAAAGATGAAAGTCATGGTCATTGCTGCCAGGAAGATAACCATCTATTTAGGGAAATAAGGAGACTCAACTGAGATTCAAGATGGACTGTGATAAATGTCATTTTAAAAAAGGCCATCAGAATGCTACAGAGGCTCTGATGGAGAGATTTATTCCACATATTGATGGAGGAGGTGGCATTTGAACTTGAAGGATGGGTAGGATTTTTTTCTCTGTTAAAAAATTTTATCTTTACATTTTTTTGTTAATGAGGTATAACACATACAGTAAGGGCACAATATTTGCATATGTATACACCTGTGTCACTGCCCCCCAATCAAGATACAGAACCTTTCCAGCACCCCTTGTGCTTCTTTCCAATCAGTACTGCATCCTCCCACCCAGTAACACTCTTCCGACTTCTATTACCACAGCTCAGTTTTGTCTGTTCTTGAATTTCATTTAAATGTAATCATACAATATGTACAGTATGTCTGGCTTTTTTCATTCATCAATATTTTTGTGAAATTCATCCATGTGGTATGTAGCAGTAGCTTATTTTTTTTAATTGCTGAGTAGTATTCCATTGTATGCACATAGCACTGTTTATCTATTCTATTGTTGATGGGCATTTAGGTTATCAGTTATCAATTTTTGGCTTTCATTAACAAAGCTGCAATGAATTCTTATATGTTGCTTCTTGTGGACTCGTGGACTCATTTCTAGGAGAGGAGTTGCTGGCTTGTATGGTGTGCATATGATCAGCAATAGTAGATATTGCCAGTTTTCCAAAGTGTTTGTACCAATCTTCGCCTTCATCGGCAATGTAAGAGAGTTCTAGTTGACTCTTATCCTTGTCAATAGAGGGTATTGTCAGCCTTTTAATTTTAGCCATTTTGGCTAGATGTGGTATTTCATTATAGTTTATTTACATTGTCTCTGGTGTTGAGCACCTTTTCATATGCTTACTGGCTATTTGAATGTCCTCTTTTTGTGAAGTGCTTGTTAAGTCTTTTGCCCACTTTTTAAATTGGGCTGTTGGTCTTCTTAGTGATTTGCAGTTCTTTATATAGTCTGGATATAGAATTCTTTGTCTGATACATGATTTGCAAATATCTTTTCCGAGTGTGTGGCTTATCTCTTCAGTCTCCTCCTGGTGTCTTTTGATATACATAAACTCTTAATTTTAATGTAGTCCAATAGTTCGGTGTTTCTTTTTTGATCAGTGCTTTTTTATTTATTTATTTATTTTTTTTTTTAAAGATTTTATTTTTTCCTTTTTCTCCCCAAAGCCCCCCGGTCCATAGTTGTGTATTCTTCGTTGTGGGTTCCTCTAGTTGTGGCATGTGGGACGCTGCCTCAGCGTGGTCTGACGAGCAGTGCCATGTCCGCGCCCAGGATTCGAACCGACGAAACACTGGGCCGCCTGCAGCAGAGCGCGCGAACTTAACCACTCGGCCACGGGGCCAGCCCCTTGATCAGTGCTTTTTGCATCGAGTTTAAGAAACCTTTGCCTACAGGGTTAGTAGGATTTTAACAGGCAAATATGAGAGAAGAGCATTGCAAAAAAGAAGAGAGAGCAAGCTTGAGCATAGACCCTGGGATCAGAGAGGGAGGGTGTAAATCATGTTTGGCATGGGAAGGCGTGGAGTTCCGGCTGTAAACAAGCTAGGGTGAAACAAAGCTGGAAGGGCTTTAACTGCAGTCTTGAGCCTGGACATTATTCTGGAGGAAGTGGAGGCTCTGCCAGAATATTTATGAATTCAAATAGAACTTAGTTGTCTTCCTTCCGCCACCAAATTTGCCTCTTTTCCTCCACAGCCCTGTTCACACCACCTCCAGACAGCTCTGGCCTCCCCAGCCAGAATCCCGGGTGACATCCTCCTTCCCTAGTCCTGCATTCAACTGGTCACCAAGTCTGACAGATTCTATGGTCTAAATGTCTCCAAAGTGTCCCTTCTTTTTCATGCACAACTGCCGCTACCTTTGCTCAAGACCTCTCAATCTCTTATCTGGAGTATATCAGTCACCTCCAGAGGTCCCTGCTTCCACTACTCTCCACATCCAATCCATTCCTAGAGCAGTCAATGTGATCATTCTAAAATGGCAATTATTCATACCTCTCCAAACCTTAAAAACCCTACATAGCTCCCCAGTGCTCTTAAAATGAAATAAAAACTCCTTTACGTGGCTTACGCCCTTTATGATCTGCTTGCTCATTCTTCCAGGCTCAACTCGAGACTCGTCTCCAGAAGTCTGCCTTAAATCACCTCTCCCCAGGGCACAGTCAGGAGAGCCTTATCTGTACCCCTAGCGTGTGTGGTAGCCAGACAGGCCTGTCTCTCCCAGGGGGCTATGAGCTCTCCCAGGTGGGAACTTTGCTGTATTTAGGTTTTTACTGGATATAGTGACTTGCATGTGGTCTCCAAGACCCTTGATGACCCGACTCCAGCTCTGTAGCCCTCGTTTCTCACCCCTGAACACAGGATTCCAGCCACTCTGGGTTTCTTTCCGACATCAGTATATGCTGCACACTGCAAGCCTCTGTGATTATAGTTACTGCCCCCTTCTCTTCCCCTTTTTGCCTGGAAGATGCCTTTTTTCTCTTCTTCGGTATTCTCTTCTGTGCTTCCAAAGTGTTGTCATCTCTCTCTCCTAGCACTTAATACATTGAAGCTTTCTGAGGGCAAGAACCTTATCTTCATATAAACTTCTAGAACATAACAGGTGCTAAAGAGATTTTTTGAATAAATGAATAGGTTGGTGCCAGGCTCCTGTGCATCTGTCTGATTTCTGCACTCTAATGGGCAAAGGCAAATATGCACTCTAAGGCACAAAAGGCACCAAGACCTGAAAGTCTGTGGCGCATACTTTAAAGGAATCAACTTAGGCATTCAGTTTATGTAGCATTCTTTAGCCGTCTTCCAAGGGAGTCGGTAACTACCAAATGCAACCCCACGAATGTCATTTCGGTCACAGAACCATAGTTGGCTCAACCCACCTCTTGTTTATTTTAAAACGCTTTTTGAATAGAGTGCGAGAACGTGGTCTTTGGCTTCAGATAGTCTGGGTTCCAATCGGACTTTGCCACTTAGTGGATTTTGGATTTTTAGGTTTAGTTAACTCACCTGAAAAATGGGAATAATATTACAGGCCATAGAGGAGTTATGAGAATTCGACGAGGCAATGTATAGTACCTGTCGCATAGGAAAACGCTCAATAAACGGTATTGTTAATAGGCTTAATATGTCTCTGGACCCCAGGGCAGCGGCAGTCGCCATAGGGAGCTCCTGAGGGGTAAGGCTCCGCCAGACGGGTGGATTTCAGGCCCAGGATGGTGATGGCGATGGTTTGGGCCCCGGTACTGCCCAGGTTGGATTGCTCTGCTCAGGTCCCTCCCCACCCTGCTCCTGGATTATACCCCGGGCTCGGACCCTCTGTCCCCGGCCCGGGCCTCACGGGAGGTCTGAGACTGCGAACGCGCCCGGGGGAACCTAGTGTGGGCGGAACTCGAGTGCAGCGGCGGGAGGCTTCCGGGGGAGCCGCAAGGGCAACGGGTCGGCGGAGGCAGAAAAGCGTCGGACGCCGGGCCGATCATGGACGCTTGACAACCTGCGGGCAGGCGCCGGGAGGCTGAGCCAGCGACCCAGAGGACGGAGAGGCGGCGAGGACAGGTAGGGGCTGGCGAGAGGGCAGGGCCCGGCGCGCCAGCC